GAGAGAGAGAGAGAGAGAATCCCAAGCAGGCTCCACGCTGTCAGTGCAGAGCCCAATGCAGGGCTCGATCTCACAAACCACAAGATCGTGACCCGAGCTGAAGTCAGGACTCAGACGCTCAACTGACTGAACCACCCAGGCACCCCCTCTTGTTTATTTTCATCGTTGAACCTCCATGATGATTTGGTGTTCCGGACTTTCACATGGCTTGTTGGTTTTTTGTCTTCATTCTGTAGGGACAAGGGTTCCAAGGAGGTAGACAAAATTTGGAAAACATCAGACAGAGTATGTTGTGAACATTCCAAGTATTCACTGGTGAAAATGTTCCTCCTTTCTTTGTCTTCATTTCCTTAACCACCTCATTTCTCAACTCCAGGATCTGGAAGTAATGAAAGGAAACGTTTGTGCATGTTAGCCAAGCATATAAAAACCGGCTTTGAAGTAGGAAAATGCACATCATTTCTAAAGACAATGATACATATTCTTGGATGGGAGCTGTTTTTTAAAACACCCATAAGGTAGCACAAAATATGCTGAAATGGCAGAGAGGGTGAGGGAAAGCATTGATGGGGAAGACCTTTGGCTCATGCATTGCCTGCTTTCTCCTCCCTTCCCCTGCTCCATCTCTAGGATCCCGTAAGGGGTCGCAATCATGTCACAGACCCTGAAGTGTTTAGAGAAATAAATCTGGCACAGGCTTCTGATCCTGGGTGTGGGGCAGTGTGGCAGAGATTCAAAGGCAACAAAACAAGTTATTCTTCTTAAGGTTTGGAAGTCATTTATCGTGGACAGCTCGGGAAAAATAAGAATTTTTCCTCATTATGACAAATACTTAAGAAATCTATTCCCTTTCCCCATAGATGGAAAACTAAGCACCATACAAATTGAGCCACTTCCCTATATTTTGGCCCCTGTCCTTACAAATGGTAGGGTCAGATGGGAAACCTGGTCCTTTGCCTCTGCTTTTTTGTGACACTTATCATTGAAACATCTGGGGTAAGCTGTTTTTTTCTTGAAATACTTGATTTTGGAAACCTGAAAATGGCTGAGCATTCAGTGGTTATGTTTCTCCTGAAAAAGCTGGCACTAGTCACAACTTTTCCCCAAAGCATCATTCCAGACAGGTGTTCAGAACCTTGTGTATCATGTTACGGGCTTTGAAGTAGCTGTAAGGTCTTTGCCCCTTTGAAATTTTAAAGCGGCTTGAGGGGCGCCTGGGTGGCGCAGTCGGTTAAGCATCCGACTTCAGCCAGGTCACGATCTCGCGGTCCGTGAGTTCGAGCCCCGCGTCGGGCTCTGGGCTGATGGCTCAGAGCCTGGAGCCTGTTTCTGATTCTGTGTCTCCCTCTCTCTCTGCCCCTCCCCCGTTCATGCTCTGTCTCTCTCTGTCCCCAAAAAATAAATAAACGTTAAAAAAAAAATAAATAAAGCGGCTTGGGTGACCATGTTGTTTAAGTGACCTACAGTGGAGAGTTCTTTTGCACTTGGGAAAACCCATGAAAATCGGTGTTTTCTTGTGAACCCAAGGAAAGTAAGATTTCAGTGGTCCTGGGATGTGTTTGCCCTTCATACACAAGACACCTCTGAGTTTGGGTTTGGGTTTTGGTTTCGGTTTGGGTTTGGGAGACAATAGTAAATAAAGCTTTACCAGATTATTATGCTTTGCCTATAAATCAATGTTCTTTGGCTGATAACAGTCCAGTGTTTGCAGTCAGGACTCTGTGTGTATTTGAGTTTGCAGACTGCTTCTCCTACTCCTGTGTCAGTCATTCCACTGAATGCGGTTATAGAATTGAGAGACGTGCGGGCCCTCTATCTCCACGCTTCTCACACACATTCCAGCCCTTTCCTACTTCCTCTCTCATTTTGGCATCTTGCCATGTTTATCAGAGCTCCAAAATCTCAGATGAAACGTAAGTCAGTCCGTTTCACCTCTTATCAAAACTGCCAGAGTCCAACACTTTGGAGAATGGCAGTTGTAACCCATGAGAAAGACCCGGTGCTCCAATTAGATTCGAAGTCACCCATTGTAACCCTGGTGTGGCCCCCACAACCCTGTCTCCATTTGCAGCTCGGTCCTGTTTGTTTCCACAGAGGTGACCTGAGGATAGAGACCATACAGAGAAGCGATGGCGTTTAAATTCATACGATTTCAAAACAGGGTTCCGTTTTCATGTCACGCGTCCGCGCCCTCTCCTTCTCTGGGCCACCCCCACGGCTTCTGGTTGGTTTGCGGCGAGTACCTGACGGCCTTTTTCCCTCTTTCCAGTTCCTTCCATTCCCCTGGATGTTCTTTCGGCATCAAACTCCTCTTCTCAGCTCATCGTGAAGTGGAACCCGCCGTCCCTGCCCAACGGCAACCTGAGTTACTACATCGTGAGGTGGCAGCGGCAGCCCCAGGACAGCTACCTTTACCGCCACAACTACTGCTCCAAAGGTGAGGGCGGAGGGTGGGGGGACCCGCAGCCCAGCCCCCGTCGTCTGAGCGACCCCGTGAAGCCGGCTCCGTTCTCCATTAAAGGCGCTGACAGCCACCAACATCTGTGACTTGCCTTTCATTTCCGCTCCTGTTGGCCTTCTCTCTCCCGAGCAGACAAAATCCCCATCAGGAAGTATGCCGATGGCACCATTGACGTCGAGGAGGTGACCGAGAACCCCAAGACCGAAGTGTGCAGCGGAGAGAAGGGGCCTTGCTGTGCCTGCCCCAAAACCGAGGCCGAGAAGCAGGCGGAGAAGGAGGAGGCTGAGTACCGCAAAGTCTTCGAGAACTTCCTGCACAACTCCATCTTTGTGCCCAGGTACCTGCATCCTTTGAAAACGTCCCCAGGCTGGCGCTCCCCAGGCAGGTTCTGTTGCTTTCTCTCCAGCGGGGTGGTTTGCAGAACCCTAGAGCCATCAAGGGGGAAACAACAAAGCAAGGTGTCCATTTGGTTGAGTGGAGGGCCTGTGGAAGCCCGGTCGCCCTGGAGGGAAGGGGAGGGGGCCGAGGGCTCATGCTGTCGGGGGCCGTTTGCGTGATGATGCCGCTGCCTCAGCCACACAGCCTCCCGCAGAGGGCAGGTGGGCTCCCTTGGCTGTGGGGACAGGGAAGGGCACTCTGCAAGGTGTAGAGGAGAGCCCCTCTGCCCCATCCCACTTCTCCCTGCTGCCTCTGGAGCCTGGCTAAGGAGGAGTGACTCAAGAGGCAGAAAACCAGAGTGAGCTTTGAAAGGGGTCCAACTTCACGAGGGCGCCTGGGTGGCTTAGTCGGTTAAGCGTCTGACTTCAGCTCAGGTCGTTCATGAGTTCGAGCCCCCGCATAGGGCTCTCTGCTATCAACGTGGGGCCTGCTAGGGATCCTCTGCCTCCCCTCCCTGCTCCCCCCACTGGCTGTGTCTCTCTCTCTTTCAAAAATAAATAAACATTAAAAAATGAAAAATTTGGGTTTTTTTTTTAACAATTTTATTTTACCACACTAAAAAATAGTATAAAAAAAGTGGAGGGGAGTCCAGCAGAGTAGCCCTGTGATGTCTGTGAAAGAGACGGAAACAGAGTAGTGGTCCTCGTCTCCCTCTTTCTCCTGAAAGTTTATAGTGTGGGGGTACCTGGGTGGCTTAATCGGTTGAGTGTTCAACTTCGGCTCAGGCCATGATCCCACGGTTTGTGAGTTCAAGCCACATGTCGGGCTCTGTGCTGACAGCATAGGACCTGCTTCGGACCCTCTCCCTCACTCTCTGCCCCTCCCCCACTCATTCTGTCCCTCTCTGTCTCTCTCTCTCTGTCTCTTTCTGTCTCTCTCCTCACTCTCTCCTCTCTTTCTCAAAAATAAATAAACATTAAAAGAAATTTCTAAGAAGATTATAAGGTGGAGTTTGCCTCCTGCCTGAAATGTGGACAGTGAAACTGGATTCAGACCAGTGCTGCTCCTGTGAGCTGCAGGTTCCTCGGTCCCCATAGTGCCCCAGCCTCCAGCCCCCTGCCAAGCATGTTCTCAGATCACTGTTCTTCCTGCCACCGACCCTGAGAGGCACCAGAAGCCTGTGGCTTCTGTTTATTCTGTAATTACCTTGCCCTTAAAGGCTTACTTAGGTTGTGTCAATAAAGTTGCTTTTAAAGTGATTTTCTCTGTCAAGTGACCTTCCTAATGTTTGTGTAATAGTCAAAGATAGCCATCTTACTTTGAAAAATCATGAAAATATGAAATAAAGACCTTTTAGAGTGCAGGCATCCTTTCCTTTTCAGAATGAAGCCCTTCGTCGCTTAGTGGCTGTCTGCCCCTCCTGTGCTCTCTAGGGAGTTGTGAGAGCCCACGGTGGGTCCTCTTGACCCGCCCCGCTGCAGATGCTCCGATTTGCCTGGTAGATTATAGGGCTGCGGTTCAAGTGCTAATCCACGTTGTCTGTATGTCACGCGTAGTTCCAAGAATAAGAACGTTTGAGGAGCTCAAAGATGAGAAACTCGAATTCAGGCTTAGCGACTTCTCCAGCAGCCTAATTAATTACCAGTCTATTTGGGAGCTGGCCCCCTCTTGCCACACACCGGGGTTCCTGCCCTTGGTGACATTGCCTCTCAACATGGGCCATCTCCCCCATGCCAGCAGAGGCTCAGCTAGTGTCCCTTCCTGTGGACACAGAAGAGGGTGAATTGAGAGTGTCCCAAACAGGCTGGGCAGGAGTTCTCTTGTTTATTCTCCAGCAAAAGCTATCGGCTACGTTGCTGTCCCACTGACTTGCCAGAAGCTCAGGTTGTGAGTCCAGGCTTTGGGAAAGTTTTGCTAAAGGGCCCCGAGCTTTCAGTTTGTAGTTTCAAGGCAGTACTTTTTTTTCCCCCCTCATTAGATGTGAAACACAAGATCGGGCAATGTGAAAGCAGAGTTGTGGTTGACACAGATACGATTAATGCGTCGTGCTTGTGTTGTTGAATTCAAAACTAAGTTTCTCCCGTGCCAGATTCCCCCTGATGAATGCCTGCTCCCTGACATTCTCTCTCCTAGGACAAGTCTGACCTGCTAGTCTGTCTTCTCATAGGAGGAATATAGATACCATATTAGCTTTTGGTGAGCAGCCCCAATTTATAAGAACTTCATTTTTTTTTTTTAATGCCTCCTACCGAGGGCATAAATCTGATGTCCACACAATTTGCAATAGAATTTGGGTAGAAGGAATAGTCTGTGTGGCAGAATGACTGAATCATCAAGGAAGGTTTTCTGTTTTAGAACTAAATTATCCAAAGATGATTTTTAATTCTTTTAATTCCTTCTAAGAACAATCTATTGGGGGGGGGGGCGCTAAAACCAGTCAAGTTAGATTTAGTATGTTACATATTGTCCAGTGTGTCCCATGTGGTTTGAAGGTTTGAAGTAGAATGGACAATAGAGTTTGTAAAGTGCTTTCTGGAGTCAGTATTCGGTGGTGAATGCCTTTTATTGACCACTGCCTTCATTTTTTTTTAAAGTTTATTTATTTATTTTGAGAGAGAGAGGGAACATGATCAGGGGAGAGATAGAGAGAAGGAGAGACAGAATCCCAAGCAGGCTCTGTGCCATCACTGCAGAGCCTGACTCCAGGCTTGAACCCACGAACCACGAGATCACAGCCTGAGCTGAGATCAAGAGTCAGATGCTTAACCAACTGAGCCACCCAGGCTCCCCTGCCTTCATTTTTTAAATCACATAGTTGGGTTTCAGTAGCAAATGTTGGCAGGTGTTGAAGAGTGAAAGATTTTCCGATGGAGTAGGTTACGTGATGGAGTGGGAGTGGTTTGGAAAGCGGACGGTGATGCTGTCGTTCACACCATTTGGAAATGTGGCTGTTTACAAAGAATCATGGGCATGCCATTCTGCTTGTGCCATACCTTGTCTTCCTGATAATGTCCCATGTGGCCTCCCTTCCCCCAGTCCCTAACTCGGTGCCATTAGTAAGAGCTCTGTAGTCTCCAAAAGTGTGGTGTTTAGAAATCAGCTTGACTGAACTTGATGGTGTAATCCCAGGTAAATGGGGATGGGCTGCAGGAGGGGTTTGGGCACAGGATTATTTGCAGTGGATTAAGCCCAGGCAGCTTCTTTCTTACAGATGTAATTGGGTGTTGTGTTGGTTTTTTTTTCAACGTTTATTTATTTGTGGGACAGAGAGAGACAGAGCATGAACGGGGGAGGGGCAGAGAGAGAGGGAGACACAGAATCGGAAACAGGCTCCAGGCTCCGAGCCATCAGCCCAGAGCCTGACGCGGGGCTCGAACTCCCGGACCACGAGATCGTGACCTGGCTGAAGTCGGACGCTTAACCGACTGCGCCACCCAGGCGCCCCAGGTGTTGTGTTGGTTTTATGTGTTGCATTGGTTTTGAAGAGAATGTAGGACGTTAGTTCTGGTAGGTTCAAAAAAGGTCTCCCTAGTAATTAACGTAGTTTCTTGTGTCCTTCTGTTCCAGGAAGGTTGTCTGGTGTGCAGATTGTGAGGACAGGAGATTATCCGCCTCGTTTCCTAATCTTTCCTTCCCCAGTATTATGAAAGTAAATGCAGTGGGGCCATGAATACACGGCCGGACCCCGCGGTTCTCTGCCTGGCGGAAGGAGTCTATCTGGGTTGAACAGTTCGTGTTTGGGTGGGGCCTAGTGGGTCACTGCACAAGAGTGGTGATGGCGTTTGGGCCGGGCGGACTGGGGAGCCAGAGGCCCTTTCCCCAAGCGCCCTGCTTTTCCTTTCCAAGTTTTTCACTTCATGGCAAATAAGGACCCACGGGAAGCCTGCTGAGTGGCAGTAAGAGCATGAATGGCTTCCCAGGTGCCCTGTCTCCCTGTGGGCCTTCCGCTTTCTCCCCTACATGAGAACTGGTGAGCATTCCTGTCTTCTGTTCTTTCTCCTTGCCTTGGACTCTTAGTTTTCTTCCAGATGAGATTTGTTCTGTTTGCTCCCCGCCCTTTGCCCGTGCACAGGATAAGTGATGCCTGCTGACAGCCTCCGTATGGAACGGACAGCACCCTCTTCCCCACTGTTTCCGGTGGCTGACCTGAGGGTGGCTGTTTCTTGTCTGGGTGTTTACTCTCATGTTCTGTTGCTGTTGGTTCCTGTAAATGCTCGGAGCTTCTTTTTAAGGCTTTTTGGGGGAGGGGTGACTGGGTGGCTCAGTCAGCTAAGCGTCCCACTTCAGCTCAGGGCATAATCTTGTGGCTCGTGAGCCCCGTGTTTTGCTCTGGCTGACAGCTCAGAGCCTGGAGCCTGCCTCAGATTCTGTGTCCCCCTCTCTCTCTGCCTGACCCTCCCTCCCTCCCTCCTTCTCTCTCTTTCTCTCTCTCTCTCTCTCTTTCTCAAAAATAAACACTAAGGTTTCTTGGGAGAGCCCAAAACCATTTTTTTCATTCCACCCCCCACCCTGCAACGCCAGCTGTTTGGACCGTTCGTCTGCCCTTTGGGGTGTAGACATTCTTTTCTTTTGATTTGTCTTTTGCTGTCCTGTTGCTTTGTGTAGCTGTTGTTCTAAGCCCTAGTCAAGTCCACGGCAGTGACTCTGCCCCTGTTAAAGCAGAGCCTTGGAGAGGCCATAGGAGGTCACTGCTGAGTGGGAGGCAAAACCAGGCTGGAAAGACCTCCAGGAGTGTGAGAAATAGAGACAACGGGGTCTCAGAGGAAGAGGGGGTTCAGCGGGAGCCCCAGAGGGAAGGGTCAGGGGGTCCAAGCAAGGGCTCGCTGCCTGGTATCTTTATTTCCACAGTCAAAGGGGGCCGGTGAAGCCACCACCACAGGCCTTTGAACCCCCTCTGCCCCCTCCCACCTCACCCCCTAATAAACCTTAGTGTGGCCAGCAAGTTGGGTCACCGTTAATGTTTAACCATAAGGTCTGTGGACCAGGGAGCATGGACATTGTGATGAAACAGCCAGGATACTGCAGAGCCAGGAGTGGCTGAGACCTTTGTTTGCCTCTAGGTACAGTTGAGTCACTACTCTGGGAGCCAGGGGGGGCAGTTTGTGTGCCGATTCTGAGGTTTGCAGAGTAGAGAAAGCAAAATAAATAACGGAGGAAATCCCCGTATTACTTGTTGGTTCTCATCCAAAGGGTCTGAATAGTTCCTTTTATCCAAAGTGAAGATTTTTCTTTTCTTTCCGGTACTCTAACCCAAGTCATAGAAAGGACCAAAGAGGCAGAAGCACTTACCAGCCAAGTTTCTCTCTTCCTGACAGACCTGAAAGGAAGCGGAGAGATGTCACACAAGTCACCAACACCACCATGTCCAGCCGAAGCAGGAACATCACGGTGGCAGACACCTATAATATCACAGACCCCGAAGAGCTCGAGACAGAATACCCTTTCTTTGAGAGCAGAGTGGATAACAAGGAGAGAACTGTGATCTCTAACCTCCGGCCTTTCACTTTGTACCGCATTGACATCCACAGCTGTAACCACGAGGCTGAGAAGCTGGGCTGCAGCGCCTCCAACTTTGTCTTTGCAAGAACCATGCCTGCAGGTACAGTGTGATCCGACTCGCCCCACTCCTGACTCACTCATAGCCCAGTGGAGAAGCCTGTGTTTTGTGGACACAGAGTCGAACACCCCGGGCGATGACCCTTAGTCTCCATCCTGCTCATTAAGAACGGTGGTCACGTAGGCAGCATGGTAGACCAGCAGCTCAGGGAAGGGAGTCTGTCTGCTCCTAATGACATCATCTCCATCCCAGCCTGTCTATACAAAGTACTCAGGAACAGGGAAGCTCCCTTCAGGGTCAACTCTCTTCCTCCCCCTTGGTGCCTCGCGGCCCTTTTCCCCATCTGTGCACAGGGAAATTTGCACGGTCCCTCCTGAGTTCTGGGGTCAGGAGGAATCAGTTAACTGCCTTGACTCAGAGTGACTGTTGCTTCTCAAGGTCAACTGCTGGAGTAGCCTTTAGTCCTCCTATTTGGTCTTTGCGTTCCCCTTGGAAGTTAGAAGCTGCCTGTTACTCAGACTGCCATCCATCTTTAAGGACAGGGGGCACCTGGATGGCTCAGTCAGTTACGCATCTGACTCTTGATTTCGGCTCAGGTCTTAATCTCATAGTTCGTGGGATTGAGCCCCGTGTCCGGCTCTGCACTGACAGCACAGAGCCTGCTTGGGATTTTCTCTGTCTGCATTTCTTTCTCAAAATAGACAAATAAATTTCTTAAAAAAGGAGAGGTGAACTGCCCAGTTCTCTTTCCTGCCAGGACAGCAGGTGGTAGAAGGAGCCCAGAAGTACTGGAGTCTAGCAGGGGCGCTCAGTCCTGGGGCTCACACGCAGCACGTCTCGAAGCAGCTGTCAGCCTCCCTGGCCTCAGTTTCCCCACCCTTCCAGGAGAGCCCCAGACCAGCTCATTTCTCAGAGCCTTCGCCAGCTGTAACTTGCAGTGACTCTTGCTCACCACTCGGCTTACTGCTTTAGCAAGAGAGCAAACACCCAGCCTTCCCTGGCGGCTGGAGGAGGAGTTGATGGTGGCTGTGAGGGCTGGGTCCCAGCACGAGCTTCCCAGCGGCTTCCTCAACAGGCCCGGCTTGCGGGCCGTCCTTCATGCCCGCGTAAAAAAGATGCGTTTGCCGTGTGCAGACGCAGACTCGGAAGGGTCCGCATCGCGGCCTGGAGGCTTGCTGCTGCCTCCTCTGCTTGCAAGGCACCTTTTTCATGCTGCTTCTGTTCCACAGCATCGCATAGGTTCCTTTCTCCAGAGATAGCAGGCTTTTTTGCAGGGGCGGGGAGTCTGAGGGGAGGGAAGGGACTGTGGCATCTTGAGCCCCACAGGTCATTAGATTGCTTGGGTTCCAAACCCGGTGCGATGTGTGAGCACCCAGCTTTGGAGGAACCTGTGTGGCCACCGCCCTCAGCCCTGCAGGCACAGCCTGGGGGGAGGGGATTCTTAGGTTAGCCTCCACCCCACCCCCACCAAGGGGTACCCGAATCTGACTTTCTCACTTGTTTAAATTGTTGCGCAGAAGGAGCAGACGACATTCCTGGGCCGGTGACCTGGGAGTCAAGGCCTGAAAACTCCATCTTTTTAAAGTGGCCGGAACCTGAGAATCCCAATGGACTGATTCTAATGTATGAAATAAAATATGGATCACAAATCGAGGTAAGCGTGGGGCGGTGGTCCGTACCTGGCTATGCTTCCATTCCAGTCGATGGCACAGGTCGCCTCCCGGTTAGCCGAGGACTTAACGACATAACCCACAGAGACAAGTCAGTGAGGATTTAGGTCTTTCTGCTGCCCCGCACTCTGCCCAGAGCACTCGGAATATGCGAGGAGGTGGGCTTGTTTTCGCCCTTAAGAAACTATCCCCCTTGCAGAAAGCGATCTTCTGGCACAGAATAGATTGGTCTCAGTAACCCTTAATCTTTCTGCAGCTCTTTTTGATTACAAAGAAAGAAAGAAAAGTTCGTGTAGAACTTGGGTGTGTGTATGGTCACTGGAAGACGGCCATTCAACACTGGGTTCCTTTCCTGCGCTCGCTCATCGGGATCACTGTTGGATGGGACATGAGACACTGGGTAGCAAGAGGCACCCATTTATCACGTGCTCGTGGGGAGTTGGCACCTATGTTTTTTTCCCCCAGGATCAGCGGGAATGTGTATCCAGACAGGAGTACCGGAAGTATGGAGGCGCCAAGCTTAACCGGCTCAACCCGGGGAACTATACGGCCCGGATCCAGGCCACCTCTCTCTCTGGGAATGGGTCGTGGACGGATCCCGTGTTCTTCTACGTCCCCGCCAAAAGTAAGGCTTGCGGAGGGAGTAGCTGGGAACCCCGAAAGCAGGCTGGGCCGGGACCGGGGAAGCCTGGGCTGTCGGGCCCTCTGACTTTCTGATTCCATGTCGGAGCCGAGTTGGGCACATCTCAGAAGGGTCGTGCGTCTGCCGGCATCTCGTTTGGGAGCTCCAGCTGGGCTGCCGCCGCTGTTAAGGGTTCCTACCTCGCTCGTGGGGCAGGGAGAGGGTCAGAGCCCCTTTCCAGGGAGGCCTTTTGAGGGGGCCTTTGCTTCCAACGTGTTTAATGTCCAAAGCATTTTTACAAAGTGCTGAGTTGACCATTCTGCCCCTTGTCCAGTTAGGGCTGCTAGTTAGGGCTCAGATTCAGGGCTTCGAATCCTAAAGGGTGACGGAAATCTGGGGGCCTCCAGTCCAGCCTGTTCCAGGAGAGGAGTCCTTGTGGTAGCATCACAGGCCTTGTCCCCTTCCCTGCCTGCCAGTAAACTACAGATGCACTTTGAAAGCACAAACACATGTAGAATGTGCCCAGTGCTCGCCGGCCGGCACCCAGACTGGGCCATGTTGTGATTTTATGCTCAAACCGTTGACAAGACAGAATTCTTAGAAGGCCGTTCTAGACAAGGATTTCAGATTTTAAAACTGAGTTTTGTAAAATGTGTAGGTACACCAAGGGCCCTATGGTTGGTTGGCCAAGAAAATGCAGTATTTTCTGTGGTGCCGTAAATATTCCTTATCATTTCCATATTGAGTTTCTCTTTCTAACTAGGAACCCAGTTTTTTTTTAAGATTATTTCATGTTCAGATACTGGGGTCAAATTTGGCATAACACTGCTCCTTACTGCCCCACATGGAAGCACAGACCCACCTTGCTTACTGGTGCTACTTTTGGGTCCAGTGGATGGTCCCCACCCCCCTGGTCCCTCCTAGTATCCACCTCTTTGCTGCCCTGATTTGCTGTCTGAGGTTTTTATTTTTATTTTTTTTTTATTTTTTAATGTTTTATTTATTTTTGACAGAGAGACAGAGACAGAGGGCGAGTGGAAGAGAGGCAGAGAGAGAGGGAGACACAGGATCTAAAATAGGTTCTGGGCTCTGAGCTGTCAGCACAGAGCCCCATGCGGGGCTTTAATTTATAAGCCATGAGATCATGACCTGAGCCAAGGCTGGACGCCACTCAGGCGCCCCGAGTTTTTAAGTTCTGGACTTCAGCCATTCCAGCAGTCCACCTGGTTAGTGCCTAATAGCCAAAGACAGGTATTTGAAAATCCTAATAGTACAAATATCAGAAGAAGAATGGAGTGAATAGAACTGCAGACCTCAAGGTAGCATTTTTATGAGCCTGGCCCTGTGCCTGAGTTCAAGTTTTAGGGGTAAACAGATAGCTGAGGCAGGTTATTCCATCGACTAAAGTAGTCTGAACTCCCCATGGGGTCCACTTACCCTGCTCTTACCAGTGTGCCTGTGCCACCCAGTCCAGTGCTAGAACCTTCACCATAGTTCTGTCTAGAGTAGCATCTAGCTTCCTCTTCTCCCCTCCCCTCTCCTCATCCCTTAGGAACAAGAGCCTCAGTTTAGGGGTCGGTCGAGCATCAGGCTGCGACCTTTGAAATAGCAGCTCTGACTTACCTTCAGAGAAGGCGAGGCCCTCTGTGCCATGGCTACCCCATCTTTAACCCCGTGAGTGCTAGGTTCCCACTGGAAACCGGGAGTCCCTCTGATGGACTCTTTCCAGCAGAAGTTGACGTCTACTGCAGGAAAATTAAATCTGCATGCCCGCTTTGCTGCTGGGAGGTTTGTCCTCATGTCAGACAAGACTCTCGTGTCCCAGTGCAGTGTCTCTTCCTCCTGTTTAATCCTCAGAGGAGACAGAAGCTTTACAAGGCTTTCTGGCAACTGCTCTCCTTTAAGGAGCCCTTCATGTGCTTGAAAACTATTAAATTACTCTCCAGACTTTTCTTCTCCAGACTAAATAATCTCTGGTCTTTTGGCCCTTTCTTGTAGCCCCAGTCTCAGAGACCAATTTTCTACCCGTCTAATCATTTTGTTCTTCTCTGGCTGTGTTCCCGTTTGTCCATGTCCCCATTGAAATGTGGGACTCAGAAAGAACACAGTACAGCCTGACCGGTAGTATCAGTGATACAAATATAAGAAATAGTCCTCAGGAAGAAAAACTAAAACTCTACTGGCTTCCCAAAGGCAGTGATAACTTGAGAGTATTTTCAAGAATTGGAAAATGCAGGAGACTAAATCCATTTCTGAGAGCTATCTGATAAAAAATGTCTTTAATTTTTTTTTTTTTTATTTTAGAGAGAGCATGAGCAGGGGGAGGGGGGCAGAGAGAGAGAGAGAGAGAGAGAGAGAGAGAGAGAGAGAGAGAATCTTAAGCAGGCTCCATGCTCAGCGCAGAGCCCAACACCAGGCTTGATCCCATGACCTCGGGATCATGAGCTGAAATCAAGAGTCGGACACTCACCCGACTGAGCCACCCAGACGCCCCCAAAATGTCTTTAATTTTAAAAGTACAATAGCTTGGGGCTCCTGGGTGGCTCAGTCAGTTAAGCATCCAACTTTGGCTCAAGTCATGGTCTCACTGTTGTGAGTTCAAGTCCCGTGTCAGTCTCTGTGCTGACAGCTCGGAGCCTGGAGCCTGGAGCCTGCTTCGGGTTCTGTGTCTCCCTCTCTGTCTGCCCCTCCCCTGCTCACGTACCTCAGACTCGAACTCCTCGTGCACAAAACCAAAATCACAGCTGCTACCCTCAGAGTATCTCTCTGGCCTCTGTTCCCAAGGTCAGTGAGTGGCACCATAATCCATGCCCCACCCAAGCCTGGACCGTTACAGCCATTCCCCACCTTTTCTTTCTCCCCAGCCACCCATTTCTCATTCAGCAACCCC